AGATGTCTCTGTTCAGGCTCCTAGCCACGGGTGTCGGATCCGCTTGCAAAAAACAGGACCGGCAAGTCTGAACCACAAAACTTCTAAACGGGCTCCCGACCGGCGCAGGCATACCGTTCACCTGCTCCACACTGATAAGGCAAAATAGGACCAACATCGCAGTAGATATTTTATCTGCCTCCTGGCAATAACTAGTTTGTGCTAGCGCATGGATTACTGTCGTGCGTTTCTGCTGTTTTCGGGGTTTGCTCTTCCGGTCTTTAGGGGGGGTGGGGGGAAGGGGGGGGGGGTTGATAACGTCCAGTTTGCAACCATCCTCATGCTACTTCCTGTGTCGCAGCGGAATTCCTCGGAATTTACAGGCTCTGGCGCGTTTTAAGCGAGCACGTGTGCTAAGAAGTCTGCAAACTCCTTCAAGCATCTTCCCCCTACGACCCTCCACACAACAGTAACTAGATGGTCCCCCAGCCTGAAAATAAGACCCAATACATAAATTCCGCGCCCGTCGAAAACCACTAGTTTCATGCTTAAAACGCGCCAGAGCCTGTAAATACCGGGGAATTCCTAACCTGTACCGTCCGATGTGGCATTTATTTTTTGTCACCCGAAATCGTGCTGATACCACACGTTGGCTAGCACTCAAGCATAACGTGGCACTTTTTTACTACACAAAACAACCGTAAAATGTGCTTAAAACTGTGGTGAGAGCACAACTTCACCAAAAAATCAACGACAAAAACCATGCGGTGGGTAGTTTGTGAATCTGTCAATACCACCGCCCCCACGGCCGGCAGCACTGTCAGGCCTAACGATGAAGCTGCCGATGGTTATCATCATCATCATCATGGTCGTCGTCGTCGTCCTCCTCCTCCTCCTCCTCCTCCTTTTCCTCCTCCTCCTCATCATCCTCATCCTCCTCCTCATCCTGCTCATCCGCCTACTCGTCCTCATCATCATCATCATCGTAGTAGTAGTAGTAGTAGTAGTCGTCGTAGTCGTGTCGTAGTCGTAGTCGTAGTCGTA